ACAGGAGCCAGAATAAAACCAAAATATACCTGTCTACCTATTTTAATACATGTTCCTACATAAATTCTACAGTAAACATATATGGAAAGGAAAGTGAATCAATTTTGCTGCTCATCACGACTTCACCAAAATCCATGCTGAGCAATACGAAAGGGGCTGCAGTCCTTAGGATGAGTCAGGATACACTGGTATATATGTGTGAATGCGGACAAGCAGGTGCACGTCTGGAAATGCCCACACAGGTGAGGGGGTTTCCACCTTCCCCCCATTTCTCTCCCATCAAGCACCTGCCATGAAACCCCCAGCTCAGGCTCCAGGAATGCAGCTGTGGGGCCAAATAACTAACCAGGCTGCTGAGCTTAGCTCTGAAAATGAAGCCCAGCTACATTTATAGAAACTTTTCTGCCTTACTAATTACTCCCCATTTGCAGTAATGTGTTTACCTTCTCCTTCCTGAAGCTGGCAATTCGTCCTTCTCTTTATTTAATTGTAAGTGGTTGATCTGGAGCCAACTCACCAGTTTGTCTGAATCATTTTGAATTCAGGCCCTCTGGTTCCTCTGGCTCCTCTGCCGCCAGGTGGGACAGAAGCACAGTTATTCTCTGCTCTGGACAGCAGGTCCCAGTGTTGGGTTTGCCCAGCAGGGAACAGCAACGACTCAGCTGCAATTCCCACACTTGGGTAAGGTGTTCCAGTTCCAGAATATCTGCTCTCCTGTCAAAACAGACTCTCCTTAAACTAAATATCATTTATTATTAACTCCTGCCAGCATTACAGAACCCTTGGAGAAGTGGCCCTGAGGGACCTCGACCCCTGCCTGTCCCTTGCCCACCCCCAGCTGCTGCAGGTCCATCCCAGGGGTGCCCATCTCCAGCTCAGGGCAGCACGTGGCCAGAGCACAGCCAGCCCAGAGCACCCTGCCTGTGTGATGATGGGAATCCCACAGGATCCACCCCCTCCTTCACACCCAGAGCAGCCACAGCCCAGCACCAGCTCCAAGCCCCACTGTCCCGGCTGGAGCAGCCCACTGAGATGGAGCCCATTTCCAGCCAGCTGCAAGGGTGCTCACAAGATCCAGCTGGGAGAGCAGAGCCAGCACATGGAGCATCCCCGAGGAGAGGCTCACTTTTCTGGGAAACAAGCAAAATCTGCTCCCTGTGCCCCGTGTGATGATGGTCAATGGCTGTTGACCCAAGCAGGTTCTGGGCTTGGGCTGGGACCTGCAATCAGAACCCAACCACCCAGCTATAAAAAGAGCCAGCATTCAGATCTCAGCCTAAGAAACGGTTCTTCCTATCCACAGCCAGACACACTCACTCCCTGAGCCCACAGTGGTACTGGACAGACCCCCTGGTGATGGGATGAGGGGGCTGGAGTGTGGGCTTTTTATCTTAAAGATTGTGAACTCCCCCAAAACATAGAAAATTCAAGCAAACATTAGAGCTGGAAAGAGCTGAAAAGGTCAGCATTAGTTAGTGCAAATCCTTGCTGTAAAAGCCCTCATTAGCTGGGAAAAAAAAACCTTTTCTCCCCTGTGAGAAAAGTGGAGGTGGAAATTTTTCAAATCACCCAATCTCAGACCAATTTTCAGAAAATTAAGCCATTTCTCATCCTGTTCAGATTCTGAAGCATCTACCAAACACAGCTGCTGTTCTGGTATTTGTGACACAGAACATCCAACCAAAGGCTGGAGGAATTGGCCCATCATTGCAGTTCTCCTGCAAAACCAGAACGTTTGGGAAAACACTGGAAAACACCCTAGCACAGCCATCCCTGAAGCAAATCCAGGTAACCCCCAGGTATTTGATTTGGAGGGGGACATGGGGTGAGAGCACACAGGGAGCCTGTGCCTGTCAGGGGGACTCCACTCCTGCTGCTCTCCCATTGCCGGGACCGCTGCCTTTCACATGGCTCCAGTGCTGGGCTGGGGGGAACAGGACATTTTTATTTCTGTGATTATTTTGTTTCCAGCTTTGCCCTCCTGCCCTGGCCTGAGGGACTGGTCTGTGACTAAATTAATTTCCTTCTGAATGGATTTGCTGCCCAAAGCAGCCGTTCCCAAAGCTTTCCAGGGGAAGCCCCCACACACAGCCTGGCATCGCCTCAGCCCCGGCTGCCAGCACCAGTATGGGCCCCACAGGAGCTTCTCCTCACTCTCAGTTCCCCAGGGAGCCACAGCTGTCAGGGATCTGCTGGCCGGGGATGGCTGCAGAGGGGCTGGACCCACAGTGGGGCAGGATGGAGGGGCCCCAGGATCCCACATCCTTGGCAGCAGGGTGGGATGGGGGGTCCCCAGGATCCACATCCCTGGCAGCAGGGTGGGCTGGAGGGTCCTTGGAACACCACACTCCTCCCAGCACAAGGCATATGCTGTGGATGATGTAACAAACACAGGTCACAAAATGAAAAGGTGCAAAAAGAATGCAGTAACTTCATGATTACTCACTTAAAACCCACAGTTGTGGGGTTCTTCCCCTCTCGCCAGGGCACAGCAATGCTGAGCAGGAGGACACGACCCAGCGTCTCACTGAGCATCACCACTGTACAGCTCCTCCCTGCTGTGACTTCTGTCCCCAGCCTGGCTGTTCACAAGTCCCCAACTGCTCCCGCTTGCCCCTTGACTTGGTGACGGAGGAGCAGAGCTGCCCAGGGGAGCGAGGGGACGGGACAGCGTGGGGAGGACACTGCGTTTCCTTCCTCGCTGTTGTTTTTTCCCTTACGTTATCCAATTTCTGCGAATTCGGGGCTGGTGAGATGTGCAGCAAGTCATTTACGGCACCCAGGGGATCAGCAGCCACTCCCAGCAAAGGCCAGACCCGGCAGCCCCTGGCACTCGCCTGGGCCTGGAGCTGTGTCTGGCAGGACAGGCTGGATCCTGCCTGGGCATCCACTCTGTCAGGGTGGGACTGAGGCACAGGACCATCAAATCCACATTTTTTCCTAAGCCTCCACATTGTCCAGTGTGTCTGCTCCATGCAGCCTCCCCCAGCTCCTCAATCACAGTGTCCACACGCCCTGCTCAGATCTGTCACCTCTATGAACACCACCACCCACCTCTGGCACCAACTCACAGCTCCTTACAAAAGGGAGGGGGAAAGCCTCATCTCTGGTAAAGATTTGGATTTTAAATGGTGAGTTCAACAAAAAGTGATATAAAAAAATGAATGCCCACAGGTTGTCAGGGAGCCAGTTTGATTTAGGTCCATATTTAAGGTGGCTGTTCTCTCTCCACTACACTAAGTAATTGTCTTTCTACCTTAATGCCCCAGTTCCTGTACAGTGTAGCTCTTCAGCTCATTTTCAGTGGCAATGTCCTTACCTGCAGCCACAGCAGGGCACAGAATAGTGCTGGTGCAGGACTCGTGCCCTGCGTCATCCCCACACGCCAGCGCCTCCCTCAGCACTCCAGCAGCTGCTTTGCCAACGCTTGGAGAAAGCTCTTTCCAATATTATTGCTGCTCTAACACCAAAGGTTTCCCAGTTTGCCCAGTTGTGCATGGCAGGGTTTTTTTCTGAGGAGCAATACAGCATTTTTATGAGAAAAACTATCACATGGCAGCAGTGAATGAATCTGTGAGATGCTGTCAGTTTTCAGTGATTTTTAACTACTTGCAAGCAATTTCCTTTCAGTCATGAAGGGTTTCGCTGAAACACCCTTCCTTCAGCTGCTCTTATCAATGGCACTAAATACAGCAGCCAAGCAGCTTTTCCAAGCAGCAACACACAAAAGTCAGCAAAAAAAATCCCAAATCCATGAGAAATCAGGTGAGACATGGCAGCAAACACAGTCACCCTCCTTCTCCATCCCTTGGCACCTGAGGTGTCTGACAGCTGCCAGTGCTGCTGGGACCACATTGGGGCTGTATTTCAGTGAGCCTCTGCCTGTGCTGTCTGGGATCATGGCTGACATTCAGGCTCCAAAATCTTCAGGGAGTTCAATAAAAAGGTCAAACCTTAGGAAGTATTTCAGGGTTTTTTCTTTCTTTTTTGTAAAGGTGCCTTTTGAACTGCTTTGGAGGGCAGCTCCTCTCAAGGTTTCCTTTGTCTTGAGCTGTATTCCAGCATGCACAAAACACCCTCATGAAAATCCAAGCATTTTCCAATAGCACAGCAAGGTTGTCATCCAGTAAACCCCAGACTGGGAAGGGTAAGGGCTGTTTGCAAACCCAACAGCAAATGTACCACCATGGGAGAGTCTGAGGGCTCTCAGAACCCAAACCAACCTCTTCACCACGAGGTGCTTTAGGAACCACAGGAACTCCTCATTCTGCCCAGGCTGCCAAGACAGGAATCCTTGGAAGTGGATTCCAAGAGGGACCACAGAGGGACCAAGCTCTGCTGGAGAAACCACAGTGTGATTGAATGAGCAAAGGAAAACGTCATTCCCAAAGCTCATGGCTTTGTACACATTCTGAGCACAGCTCCAAGGGCAACACTCTTTCTTGGGTTCTTCAAGAGCCACAGGGGACATATCCTGAGCCCACCACGAGAGTCAGACCATGACACTGCTGTCCAGGAGCTGTTTCCTGTCTTGCTCAGAATCCCTGCCAGCCCTTGGGTACCAGGATGCCGGGACAGACCCCCCAGGTATGCAGGAAAACAGGACAGAACCCCCCACCAGTCCCTGGGCACCAGGATGCCAGAGCAGAACCCCCAGGACTCAGCTCACGAGGGTTTACTCCCCCTTGGGCACTTGCCCAATACCGATTTCTCCTGAGTACTTTCCAGCCCGTACTTACTAAATTAGACTATTTCTCCTTCTTGGGTAGGGAAACATCTTTTCCTCTCACCTCAGGAGTTATTGCCATTAACTTCAAGTTCAGCTCTGCGAGACGCCCGGTTCCAAGGTGGCACAGGAAGGATCTGCTGCTGATCCAACACATTCCCAGCCCGCTCCCTGCACTGAAGGCAAAAGTCCCTGGGAGTTAGGATCACAGGACCCCAATCTTCCCTGTGGATCCAGGTAAGAACCCTGTGCAGCACCTGGCAGGCCATTTCCAGGCTGAGCTTAGGCAAGGTGGGCACGTGTCCCCTTAGTCTCTGTCAGCAGCAGAACCCCACTCTGGCAGCCCAGCTCGGGGTTTATCTTCCAGCAGCACCAACAGAGCTCTCCCAGGCTGTTCTCTGGGTGTGACCATATTAAAGAAAACTCTGCTAACTCAAACAGAACTAAACCAAACCAGCAAACCCTTCCAGGGCTACCCAACAGCTGATGCAAACCCCATCCACATCAATTCCATGACATTCCACACATAAACATCTTTATTCTTCCCTAGTCAACTGCATGCAATTTCAATGCCTTGTGTGAGCTACTGTGATGAAAAGGCAGCCCTAGAACAGACACCAAAAACTGTCTTTCAAAAAGTTTTGTTTAGTAAAAATGAAACAAAACACAATCAGCTTCCTGCTTTGCCTCTGCACCTCCTCACCTTGTGCAGTTACGATGGTTTATATTTGCCAAGACTTAGGAACACAAACGTTCCTGGGAACAACAGTCTGAGAAGGAATATTGCTAAAAGCCAAACACTGAGACCCAGCTACAGCCTGAAGTTAATTGGCACACAACTCTCAATTTTACCCAGATTTTGTGCCTTCTTTGCCAAGCTCCCCGTGATGGGCTCTAACCAAAGCTTCAGGGCTCCACAGAAGCACCTGTGAGCATTTTTCATGGAATGTATTTTGCTTACAAGCCATATTTTTAAAAACCTACCCTGGTGTTCAGATTCATTTTCGTGCATTGCTTTATTTCATTACAAAATTCTACCACCTCTCAAGGAAGATCAGACTTTTCAATGTTACTATTTATTTTAAAGCTAGAATACTTTGTGTCCAATGACTCTCCAACCTCTTTCCAGTTTCATTACTTCAAACCAAAATAACGAAACATAATACTGAGCAATTTGACACAGACATACATAAAAAAGCCTATTTCTGTAGAGCAGAATTCCCCAGCATCCCTCTGCCTCCCTCTACCTTCCCCAGGGAACTGGGGCACCAGCACCTGCCCAGCCCCAAGCCAAACACTGTCCTGCAGCTGCTTCCAGGAGGGCAGAGCAAGTTTCCATGGGGTGAGAGCAGGAACAACAGCAACACATGGTCCTGCAATGGTGAGGGGACACGAGGGACAGGAGCCAGCTCATGCTCCCACGGGGCTCCAGCACCCTGGGCCCAATCTCAAAGGTAAACGGCCCACAGTGCTGTGGACAAACCATCAGCCTTGTCATTTGGGCAGCTTGGAATGGCAGTGATGCATAAATTCAGCATTTTACTCAGTATGCAGATACACTGAGGATGGGAAAAAGCCAAGCAGTGTTTCCCAGCGTTGAGGATTCACCACCCCTGCAGCATTAGCTCCTCTTCCGCTTGCTCCTGGGAAGAACTTCATCGTTCTCCGGCATCTGCGGCCGCTGGGACTTCCTCTTGTTCACTGTCAGGGCCACGGAGCTGCTGCTGCTGCTGGGAAAAAAAGGAAAATAAGGAAAACAGGGGGTTGCAAATGCCCTAAACACAACACATGTGACACTGCTGGGAGCAGCACACGGGCACTGCACACGTACGTGTTCCTGGGGACCGGCAGTGGTTTGGCCAGGAAAGGATCTTAGAGCTCACCTCATCCCAACCCCCTGCCGTGGGCAGGGACACTTCCACCAGAACAGGCTGTTCCAAGCTCCATCCAACCTGGCCTTGAACAATTCCAGGGATGGGGACATATTGCTCTGCCTTCTCAGCTGAAGAAGATAACAATACCCACCAACCACCCCATTCGCCTGAGCCCGCAGGGACAAAGGGTGTCGTGGTGTCTCTCCTCCTGTCTCCAGGAACCAGTTTGGAACATAAGGAGGAGCAACAACCTCCCAAATCCCTTGTCCATAACTGAGAAGAGTGCCTGGTGCTGAGAAAACCATGATGATGCTCTATCTTGAGTCACTCTATCTTGAGTCTTCCTCAGGGGCACGAGCACCCAGGCACAGGAAAAGGGCTTGGTCAGGATTGCCCCTGAAGGAAAGCGCACAAGACTCCCAGCTTTGCAGACACCCTCCTCATTTATGGACAAAGAATTTTCCACTGGAAACTCAACAAGTGTTTTCTTTTTAGTCACAGAGTTAATTTTAAAGAAAAAACTGTTAAATTAGCCATATTTAAACAAAGCAGCTGATTTCCATCATTCAGCCTCGAAGCTTAAAATTCCACTTAGTGTTGACATGAAAGATGCCGTTCATCTGTCAACAGCTTTTGCTAATTAAACATTTCTTATAAATATACTCTGTTTTAAACCATCTGCTAGGCTGAATCCATCCTGCAGGGACTATTAATTTGGCTTAAACTGGGAATTCACAAATGAAAATAACAATGGAAAACTCTCAGATGCCCAAGTCCACGTCTGCTGACTGTCACAAGATATATACATAATGATATAAAGGGATTAGTAGGAACAACTCGTGTTTCAGAGCTGTACCACAATGGAAATGGAGCTCTCACATCCCTGAGACCATTAACCACACCCAGGGAGATCCCTGTGAATCCCAGCTCTGTCAGATCCAGCTGGTACCTTGGCAGTGGGACTGAACACACGTGCCCAGAGTGCCAAAGGGAGGAACCACAAGGATCCATGGCCCTGTCCAGCTCTCTGCTCTCACACTGTCACAAAAATGAGTCGTATTTCTCCCCAAACCATCACTAACAGACTGACGCTGTCACCTGCAGACCCCAAAGTGGGTTAAGCAAGCGCTTGTTGCCTGAGACAATTTCTGAACAGAGGGGCCATGGCAGTGGAATTCAGATCTCATGGAGCCCTGAACCTGCCAAGTCTCAGGCACTTGTCCCATTCCATGTGCAGCAACACGCTGGCTTCAACAGAACTATTCACATCCACAGCTGCTGCCAGCAGCAGGTCCCTGTTAATGCTTAGCTGCACAAAGATGCTGCTCAGGAGCAGGAACTTCATTTATACGTGAGGGATTAAAACCTCACCGTTTCTCAACTTGAATTTACACCTACTTGTCAGCCAATCACCAAAGATTAGGTGGCCAACAGCACAGAGTAATAAACTACTGTAGTTCATGGGGGGAAAAGGCAATGGTTTGAGGATTCAACTTGGGGAATGGGGGACAGAGACCAGAGAAAAAAAGACCTTTTGTGGCTAAAGGATTCAGTTCATGGAGCAGATGCCTTCTCCTGGGAGCAGTGAGGTGTCCTGCCACAATGAGCCTGGTTAACACACAGTACTGTGCTGCTGGGGAGCTCCTGCTTACTGAGGCCCCAGAAAGGAGGAGCTGAAGGTGATTTGAATGGAGTCAGGCATGTTCTTCACCCAAAGAAAAAGGAAGTCAACTATTTTAATAACTAACTACAGAGCATTTAACTCCAAACTGTCTTTCCGTGGAATACTTTAAAAGCACATGGAAAAAGGTCTCTCCAGGGCATGGCTAAACACACACTGAACTGGGACAAACATTTCTCATCTTTGATTGAATTCCACAGCCATTAACAGGGAGTTTTAAGAGTCACAGCACTTGGATACTCCCCTCACCTGTTAGAGGACACTGAACACGTCTCACACTCTTCCACGTCTGCCAAAATGTCCGAATTGGTGCTGAAGGGGAAAACAAAACAGATGTAAACTATTTCAGCAACACCTATAACACAGCAGGGCTTGACTTGGCAGTGGCAGCAGAACCTGTGGATGAGACCAACCCCTCTAATAGCACTGTCAATGAGAAATAACTTCAACCTACAGCACAGGCCAGAAACTTCTTTCTCTGCATTGCTTAATTTTCAGTTATTCCCGGGTCTCAATGTCATTATTTAACACACAAGAGAATTCTCTCTGTTCATGTCTCCTTAGTGGTATCTACAACAGCTTTGCATTCCCAGGCACCAGGCAATATCTCTGGAGAGGATCTGCAAGATGCTTTGGTGGGTAAAGTGAAGGTAAAGTGCACTTCTTTTCTGAAAGCTTTTCTTCAATAAATCAATAAATGGCACACAACTCCTAGAAGACGGCAGGATTTTTTTCACCCTTTGCCATTTTGTCTCCTCTCTGAAGTGAGAGTCATCAGCTGTTACTGTGGCAATAACTAAAACAGAACCACCAACAGGAATTCAGGTGGACAAACAGAGCCAGGTTAGAGGACCCTCTAACACGTGCACACTCAGTCATACAGATATAAAGGAAAAGGATACCAAAAATGGATGGGGAAAGTTTTGAAGCCTGGCATTGTTTTTACTCTCAGAATTAAAAGTCCATCAAAAGCTCATTTTTGGTGCACAAACTGGATGCCCAGGGAATGAGTTATTATCATATTTCCAAACCCTACTCTGATGTTCCAATTACATTTAAAAAAAGAAGTGGGGAGGACATAGGGCTATTTGTGTGCTTTTAGTCCCCTAAAATAGAAAAAGAACAGGTTTGAGGCCTGAACATGATGTACTTCCCTGCCTTGAAAACCGCAGCATTATCATCATTTATCACCCCCGCGTTTGTCACCGCAAAACAATAAAAGTGGAAAAACTTGGCGAACGCTCAAACCAATAATGCTTGTTCAGAATTTACATGTGGAATCCATGGTCTATGCCTACCAAATTTTTTTAAAACTGAGCACAAAATGTCCTGGAGAGTTCCCCCTTGGCCCACACGTGGAGCTGTGAATGGGCCATCAAAGGCCCCAGCCATCGGTCCCCAGAGAACCCAATTAACTTTCTGCCCTAACTGCAGTGAGACACTGAGCAGCTGAGCCACTGTACAAAGCAGGCTTCTGATCTTCCCAGCTGGAGCTAAAAGCCCTTTATTTCAGGATTCCTTCCAACAGCCCTGCACTGAAGCAGTTCTCTGCATCGCAGCTCTCCCAGGCACCGGTTTCGGTTCCAAAGCCCAAGGAAGGCAGGATTTGGAGCTGAGGTAATTATACACCTTTCTGCCATGTGCCAGGGCACAAAAGTGTTTGAAAATTTAAAAAAACCACTTAAATATGCCACAGTTGAAAACCAATTATCAGAAAACACTGTCAACTAAGCACAAGCATTTCCGACCACCAAGTGAATTCATATTTTAAATTAATTATTTTTTGTCCCCTGAAGAAAACTCCTCCCCCTTCTCTGCATTTAATGATTAGCCCTGAAGTGGAAGCATATAAATTAAAAACCAAACAACTGCCTTGTTGTGGAGGTTGTTTCTATAAATTTTAGCCCAGAGGGGCCAAAGAGATCACAGAATTTAGAACAGTTTTGTTCATTTCTTCAGTATTTTCTGCCTTTTCGATACCCCACAGGTACCTACCTACACTGAGGCCAGGCACAGCAAAACACAACATCAGACTTTATTCAGACTCCAAATCCAAGACAAATTCCCACAAGGTTTTCTGTCCTTTTCATTACTAAAGGTCATTACTCTCCCAAGATTTTACAGATCATTTCCAGAGGAGTCAATTTTTACAGCAAAACCATTAAATTTCTGCCCCTGAACTGCTCGAGATGCAGCCTGTGCAGGGGGAGGAGAGGTTTCAGTTCCTGCTCTTATTCACGGCTCCACCTTGGGAAAAGCACAGCTTCAGTGACTCAGGCCATTCCCCACCTCCATGTTCCTCCAGGACTGCTTTCCCTGAGCCCTTATGGACCATCAACCAGGAGTCAACTCTTCCTTTCTTGACCATCAGTGGGGTTTGACTTCCACCCCCCCTTTTTTTATTTAAGATAAACACACTCCTCTAAGATAGAGAAGAAAAAGCTGACATAAGTGTGAATGACACGTCTTGTTCTAGAATTGAGAGGAGCAAATGGCTCTTTGAATTTGTTTATGTTAAGGCAGATGAAGCTCCCTCGGCCTCCCCGTGAGCAGCCAGCGCTCTTTCACCCGTCCTTGGACCTGGCTCTGCACATGCCCTGGGCATTTTTACCTCAATGGTGGCACAAGAAATGAGCTCCAGCCTGTCTCGTTCTGCCAGTGTCACTTGGAGGTGAATGCCCAGTTGAAGAGAGGTAAAACAGTTTTCTCCATCTTGCAATCCTGCTTCCACTCCGTCCTGCCTGTGATGAACAGGATGAGTTCACTGCTAGAACAGCCCAAGCACTGAGTGATATCCAAGATTAACAGTGCATCACAATGCCTTGCCTGGCTTCCCAGGACCTCCTCTTCAAACCACCTGCCCGTGGCTTCATCATCCTGCCTTTGGAGGAGAGGTCTGGGCCTTGCCCAGGTCCCCATGGAGGGAGGCCCTGGAGGGCTCTGTCTGAAGCAAACCTTACACAGGTTCCACTCGCTGTCTCACTGTCCTCCTTTACTCTCCCCAAGCTTCCTGGCCTTTCCATGGCATCCTCTGCAGCCCAAATACACGCCTTTGAGACTCTGCCTCTGGGAAAGGGAAAGCTCTGCTGGATCTATCCGAGTCTGGCAGCAGCTGGGACATGGAGGCTAAAGCACCAAGAGCACTGCGGACATCACTCCTGTTTTCAGCACTCAGATGTCCAGACCCCACCGCTCTCTATCGCAGACCCACGTCCTCCTGGATACAGGCTGGACGTACTTGCTTTCCCCAGGCACATCTGAGGCCACTGACTGTCATGACATCCCCAGGACTCTCTCCACCAAACCTCACAGCTCCTGCCATTTGTTACAGCTCACACTTTTGGGGAAAAAAAAGTATGAATCAACACCACAGCAGAGAAGTATCATCATCCTTCCACAATGAACCCACGTTTGAGGCCAAAATCCACAGATCAAACACTCCCGTCTAACACTGTGATATACATCATCTCTGAGCCAAAGTAGTGCAAGATTTATTAAGTCAAAAATGTACTGAAGAACTGAAAAAGGCAGTTATGGCCCTGATCAACACATTTTCATACACTTCTCTCATCTGACAGCGATGGCCAGGGAGCGGGACGACGCTGCCTTTGAACTCAGACTGCAGCAACTGCCAGGGAAGAGTTCATGCAGCCTTTCCAACCACTCCATCCTGCCAGCCTTGCCAAACCAAGGTCTGCCGGGCGGATTTTGGAGGGCTGCTGCCATCCAGTGAACTCCTGGATAACTGAAACACAGTTCCTATCTCTACCTCTTCTGCTGCTGATGAACTAAAGCCCATATTCTGCAAAGCACATAAATCCAAGGATAAGTGACCTGTTAAATCCAGACCTTGGATCCTGATCAATGGCTCCTAAGCTTACATCCAAAAAACCACACATACTGCAAACGAGGCCCCTCCCTGGGCATGAACCTCCCCTGGCAGACACTGCAGTCACTCTGGGTATTCCAGCAGCAGAGGCATTTACACAAGCTGTGCATGCAGCACTTTCCCACCAAGATTCCAGAACTAAGTCACTCTGTTCAGTACTTCAGATAAGGTCAGTGTTCTATTTCATCTGCTGTTCAAGTCTCTCACTCTAGTCATCAAGAACCAGCATTTGTCTCTAACACAAAGCTTTAAGAGAAATAATTTGCTTTAAAATCTGTGTATTATGCCCATTACATAAAATAGTTGTAATGGGATATTTCCTCTCCATGGCTCATTAACTGGCTTATCGTCGTCCCTCCTCATTTCTCTCATTTCTTTTCTAATTTCCCTATTGTTTAAGTAGTTGCACAAAATTTGGCTCCAGTCCCAGGAAGTCAAAGAATGCCACAGGACTATTTGTATGGAGCACTGCAGTCCTGTGGAAGCTTTTTGTGTAACTGTGACTTCAGAGCTTTGAAAAATTGCCCTTTCAAAGGCACGGCTGTGTTTTGGTGTTTATCTGTTATGCACAGTTTGCTCTCCTGGTGAGATCATCAATCTCTGCAGAGCCCAGGCATGTTTGGGTTGATTCTTCAACCTCCATTCCTGGCCTGAATCTTTTCTCCAGCAGATGTAAAACTTATTTTCTCAATTAAAGCATCAACTTTTGAATACTATCAGTTAATCAGTGATTAATGTACAATGGATGAAATTCTTATCTTGGCCAACTGATATGAGACTGACAAAGGACAGGCCTTATGGAAGAGGAAACAGAATTACTGATTTTCTTGCAGCATCTTTTTGCAGAACAAACATTTCACCTCTCCAACTTGCAGACTGTTCCATTATATTCAATGTGCTGATCGATATTCTCATCCCATCATAACATCAGCCTTCCATTTATAAGTGCTCTCCTCACAGAAACACAGCATGCAGATCTGGATTTTCAAATATATTTCAAGTTTTGACATTTCAATGTGAAAAACATTTACCCTTGGCAAAGGATATCCTCTTATTATCAGAAATAAAATACAAGCCTCACAAAACCATTACTAAGTACAATAGCACAATGCTACTCAAACCATCAACATATAAATCATTATTGTTTGATTTGTGCTGTATTTACTTCACTACAGTTAACAAAATAGCAGCCCCACAATAACCAGAGAGTGACCAAATACATCTTTTTTTCATGCAGTTTATATGATTACACCTACTTGTTACAGGCCCTGCCAATGTTGACACAATTCATTCTGGATACACCAGACCTCTGAGCACTGTGCTGGGAGGATGAGCCTCATTCCTGGATGGAACTGTGAGGTCCAAAGCTGGTCCAAGGACCCAAGAGGTCTCCAAGGGCCAAACCAAGACCTGGGCAGTGCACTGAGCCATCAGCCCTTTTGCTCCTTCAGAGCAGCTCCCAAGGAACACAAACAGTCAAGGCAAAAAGCACATTTAACTCTTTTCCATAAGTGTCCACAGAGGGGGTGATCCCTGTAACCTTTGTTTCTCAGAAGACACAGGTAAACACCCCAAAGTGCTCTTCAGAAAGGTACAGTATGGCAGGAGGAACATGGTGGTCAGAGGAGAAGGGCCTTCCATCATCACCAGGCAGCACACGTCACTTCACTGAGCTTTCACAGTTTTACTCTTGGTGTTTTCTCTCTCTTTGAGCAGAGTCTAAAGCCGGGGGCTGGATGTAAAGCAGCAGAAGCTGCAGTGTGTGATGTCCCAAGGCTCAGTGGGCCTCTCCAGCTGCCCCTGCCCTGTGCAGGGTCAGATCAGAGGGTCACCCAACCTCTGCAGGTGAGTGTGTCCCACTGAGAGCAGAGGAATCTGCTCCAACACCACACACCTGCATGTGAGACACTCCAACATTGGGTATGACAATGTGTGAGTTCTGCATGAGCCCAGAGCACTGGGCCCTGTGTTAAAGGTAAAGAAATGACCAAGACAACAGCTCCCTGATCACAGGGAAGGAAAAACTGTCATCATTTGCATCCTGAGAAACTGAGATAAAACTAATCCAGCACTAACCTTAACAGCTTGTTACATATTGAACAGCAAATAAACTGGTATGCTGTGTTTACCAATTTTACAGTACCAGTTCAGGTAGAAAGACACAGACCACATAGAGGGGAAAGGCCACAGGAGGGGAAGGGCTTTATTGGTCTATAATGCAGGTCTGAACCAAACAGAAATGCAATGATACTCTGGAAGGGCAGCAACGACCTTTCCTGCCTCCACACAGTGCTCTGCCAGCCAGCATATTGCTGTTTACTGACAAATATTTACTGTATGCTCCCATTTATCCAGCAAATGGAAACAGGCACCAGAGCCTGATCCTGTAAAACAGAGACATGAACCATTTGATGCTCTCTGATCCCCTGACCCAACCTTCCCTTCCCAGTGTCCCCCTAGGTTTTCACTCACTGTTCAACATTTCCATATGTGAAAGGGAATTCTCATGACAACTTTTTAAAAGCTCTTTAACCCTCATGGTGAATTTATGAGCTCTCTGAACCAAAACGATTTTAGAAAAATTGGTTTCTGTTAAACTTTTTGACTAGATTGCTCTGTTAATAACCAAGGATAAAGCCAAGCACTACACTATTTTGAATATTTGCAGAACAAGGAGGAAGAGGCACAGTGCTATGACTGTAAGGGGAAGGAAATTGAGAAATGTCACTCCCAGCTCAGCTGATGACCTCCAGCTACTTCCTCTGATTATCTCCCACTTCTAAACCTTTTTATTCCTGGTGATGCAGACTGCATTCTCCTCTCATTTCTGTTATCAACAAGATAGCCAAGTCAGCTCTCTTGCTTTTATATCAAACCCCAATTATTCTGTATTTGTTTTCAATTACTTTTACACTTTTCCTCCAGAAACCATGGCCACAGTTCCTTACAGCAATACTTACTTCACAGATTTGGGCTGTTACCAGTTTTGGGACCTCTCTAAATAAAGCTTGCAGCAGAAGGGAAGGTGATGCATCGGAAGGAATTCACCAAATGTACTCCTGGTACCCCAGACACTGCACTCCCTGTTTCTGTACCAAAAGGGACATTTACATCAACCCCACATGAAGTCATTACAAATACTAAGTGAATTTGTCTTGTATTTCAGCTCCATTCCTCATGCAGCTGAGCATCCAGGAACACAGGAGAATGGATCCGTGATCACAGCTCAGCACCCTTCTGTGCAGCAGGATCCATGCACTGCTCGACACCACTGCAGAGTTTACCCATCTCTCCTCTCATCTGGCACTACCCAGGGAGAAGACACTGCCTCACCAACCTGCTCGTTGATCCAGACGACAGGGAGAATTCAGGAGAGGCCGATCCCTGGCCTTCCTCCACACAATCAGGTTCACTTCTCTGGTCATCAGCAGCATCTGACTGGAGTTCCTGGGCTTCTCTGAGGACAACAGCTGTGTGATGCTCTTCCCTAGGTTCTACCAAGGGGAAAGGCACAGATTAGAAAGAATGACAATACCAAATACTATTGTTTAAAGTTCTGCAGCCAGGAGATAGATTTTTAAGAAAAAATAAAGTTCTAAATATTTAAATACCAACACCTCATTCCCACTTGCTTGTTTCTCAAGGCTTTCCCAGGTTTAATTTTCAAGGATTTCACTTCTTTTCCAGATAGTTTTAAAAAAAACCAAAAAAGAAACAAAACTAACCACTCTCTGAGAACTAGAAATGTTTCATGCTTCATTGCTGAGTTTCAAACAGAAAGAAGGAGAAGAATAAAGGGGAAGGATATGTATGACATTTCATAAAATGGGACTTTATTTCAGAAATTAGCAAACACTTAACAAGACAGTGCTGTTGGCTGCTTGTGCTACCAATCCCCTTCATCCCCTGCATCAAACAGCTTGACAGCTTTAAGTTTTACAGATCTAGCTAACAGGCTTGTTTTTAGTTGTGATTTATTTCCTTATGCAGCTAAGAAAGACAATGTCAATCCAGGTAATTGACATTTCCATTTCTATAGGAAAAATAATTTCTAGACAAACACATATCAGATAAAAATTGTAAAACCATTCTGTTGTTTTTATGTCAAATGTTTTGGTCTATGAAAAGACAAACAGTTCTCTGAAAAGACACCTTCTGCCCCTCCGAAGAGAAAACAAATACAGACTAGAAATTCGGGGATGAAAAGATCCTCGTGCCTCTGACTTTTCCACCCCTCCAGCAATAGTTTGGACAGAAAGGCCCAAGCAGAACTGTAACTGGAGTGTGGAGGGGCTAAACAATCTTTGGATTGAGCTCAGCTTGCCATTTCCCTCCAGCTAAACAGGCATAATTAAATATCAGGGGCATATTTTTGTCTGCTGAAAACAACCAAGCCACCCCAGTGAGTCAGTTGTCCAACTAATGAAACACAACTGAAATTAGCAGGGTAAAAATAGCAAAGGCCTGTGCAATAATGCAGACCAGCACAGCCAATACTTATCAAATCAAATTATTTATCACCAATATTTATCAAATCTTTTTGGCACTTCCCCTCAAGCAAAGCAAAGCTTCATGTTTAAAAGTTACAAAAACTAGAAAACAGGCATTTTAAGCCTAAAGGTGCAAAGCAAGATGATGTAAACCAGGAACAGGTGCTCAAAACACCACCACAAACAGAGTGAGATTTTCAGAGAGGTTAAATTGCATCAACCAATACTACAGTAGAGGGCAATGGGAGAGATGGAGGAGGGAAAATAAATAAACCAACAAAACCCCAAAAAAGGTCTGTTTTAGTTCTGTGCAATTCCACCACTTCCATGAGAACCCCAAGGAAGTGGGTAAGGAATGCAGACAGAGCCTTTGCTCCTCCACCTGTTTCCATCAGGCCACTGCTGGTTTCTTCCTTTCCTGTACCGTAATTCCCAGTTTAACACAAAGGCAATTGCTGTTAACAAGGAACCCTGGGGAAACAGGCTTTAGGCATCTGTTCCTTTAACCATAATTCATCTTTTTGTTTTTTCAATGGTTTACAAACAGTTAGCTGGGTGCAGATGTTTGGCATAAAACTAGGAACTGAAATTCCAAGGATTCCTGAAAGCTCAGTGCACAAAGTGCAGGTTTGCCAGAACCAGACGAGGTGGTGCCACGTACTGAGCACAGCACAGGATGATCCACCTGAGCCAAGCCATGTTCTACTTGAGCACTCTTTTGGAAAAACTCTGTGGCTTTAATTCAGCTTCTCAGGACCTGCAGGGCAGCACACATAGGGGAGATGGAAACCTGAAATCCACAGCAGCCCATCTCTGCCAGGGCAGAGCTGGAAATAAAGGCTGTGGTCCCTTTCTCCAACAACACATCACCTTTGCCTCTGCTACAGACGAGGAACATCTTCAAATCTTTTATCCTTGAGATTCCTTAACTTTTACCCTTCACACAGAAGGGAGTATGCACTGAATCAAGGTCTGTGGGAAATGATAAGGATAAAATTCTTATTATTTTACTGTTTTTTCATTTCTTTTTATTCTTGAGGACTCTGCTGAAGGAGACAGCACGGGAGAGAAACACAGATTAACTCTGTTCAAGAGCACAGGGATGTGTGACAGCTGGGGCAAACTACACTGCCTCATTTTCCCAAGGGCACAGACAACAGCACATCCCATTCTGGCCAGTGGAATTCTCTCCAAAACTCAAGTGTCTTGAATAGATTATAAATCCACAAGTTCTGTTAGGCTGAGGAATGTTCTTCTAAATCCCAGATTCAGAGCTAGATGTTCCCTGCCAAAGCAGCCATGAAGCACAAACCAAAGGAGACCAAAGGATCCTGCAAGGAACACGCTCAGAGCACACTCGGGTAAGGTTTGATGTGGCAGGGAGAAAGGATCATAAACAGGCTGGATGCTGTCCCCAACTCCTAACAAGTGAGTAACTGCAGCCCTGTATTCCCACTTTTCAATGAGCTCAAGTATATAAACAAAAAACAAGGCAAGTTAAAAAGAGAGGCAACATCCTGCATAAACAGCCTGAAAGAAGACCAAGTATTTTATTGCTTCAGTCTCAGAACAAATAACTCCTGGATCCAATCCACACAAATACTTCTGCAGTTCCCAGTTACTGACTCCCTCTCACAGAAATGACCAGGGAAGGCTGAAAGGCAGCGACAGCACTGACCATCACCTTGACTCCAGAGGTGGTCGCATGCCCACCTCAGCACCTGCAGCACACCTGGATTGGAACCTGAGACCCTTTTTCAACCAACTGACTGCAAGGTGTCCCCAGACAAAGCACATCCAGACACAACCCAACCAAACCCATACATTTATTATGGGTCATGCTTATGTTCCACACCAAAATCAAAGGCAGTCAATCATTTTAGGGGCTGTTTGATCTTCATGCTATTTTTTTCCCCTTAAAGGCTGTAGGAGAACAACAACAGAGGAAGTACCATTTCTTTGGGAAACTCCCACTTCTTAATGTGGATCCGAGAGGGGACCATACTAAACATCACAGACCTGTGGCTGCTGGCAGCTCTTCGACAGCAACTTCTTCTTTGCTTTGAGCACTTTCTGTTTTCCTCTCACCACTTTTCTTCCACCGGCTCTTTACTTGATCCACCAAGAATTTGAATTCTTTTCTGTGTTTGTTTCCTGAAAGGTAGCAGAGCATCACTGACTGTCCCCACAGGACTAAGGTACACCATAAACACCGAAAGGAGGTGAAGAGAAATGGACACAAAGCACTAAATTAAAACCATTTTTGTTACAGCAACTGAAAACCAATTCGGCACTGCAACATGGTCCATGTTCTATTAACGAGCCAAATCTGTGCCTGTGCTTTTACAGAGCTAACCAGTCAAGAACACTGGCAAAGATGAACACTTCATGCTCATTACACTGCTGAGATTCAGATCCTTTAAATCAGTTAATAATGCAAATACTCTTTGCACTTTCAGTCACTTGGTATGTTTTAAGCAATCCTCTGGTGTTCGGCCAAAGCAATGTTATTGTTTCATCTAGATACTTCAAATTCTTTACTCAGAGGCTGGGGAAATACTCAGTGTCCTCAGCCAGACATTGTGGATCACCTATTCCTGGCCAGGCAGGGAGGGAACACACCGACAAGGAGGCTGGAGCCAGGTGGGGATCAGCCTTTTCCCCAGGGAACAAGTGACAGGATAAGAGGAAACAGCCTCAAGCTGCGCCAGGGGAGGTTCGGGTTGGCCATCAGGAGGAATTTCTTCACAAAAGGCATTATGAGGCACTGGAACACCTCCAGAGGTGGTGGCTCCACCACCTTCCTGCACAGTCTATTCCAATACCTGACCACCCTTTCAGTGACACAATTCTTTGATATATTCTATGACAAAATAGCCAAGCCCTGCCCCACAGAAGGAAAAAGATTTGACAGCAACTCCCTTTCCCTTAGCAGCTGAAAGCACCACAGAAGGCCAAAAACTCCATTAATTAAAAGCAAATTCTGTCCCAGATGCCAAGTCTGAGCCGCTGCACACTTGCTATGGAATTCCTTTAGCACCTCAGTCTTCACAGCATCGCTATCTTTTGTTGTTCTGGTTTATGGTGTGAATACAAAGCCTTTCAAAAAGAAATGTCCTGGCACACAAGCACTGTTCAGCTGTGCTGTAAATCACCATGGTGCTGAAATGACACACCACACACAGCACATCAACCTGCAGCATTTCAGTAATAAACCAAACTGCAGCATTTCAATAAACCAACCACAGACAGAACTACGAATATTTAAAACACAAGACAAAGCAGTAGACTTCTGAAGAACATTGCAAATGGAAAGATTTATAAGCAGAAAAGGCAGCAGAATACATTTTTCAACAAATTTATTTCCTTTCCTGTAGATGTTTTAACTCTTTAACTAGAGTCCATAAAAAAAAGCAGCCTGGGGTTGACACCAGGGTGAGGGTGTCCCTGAGTTCCAGCAGCAGAAGGAAGTGACAGCAACTGTAATTGCACCTTCCAGGCACGGACTGTGGCAGCTGCTGCAGCAGAGCTCCCAGACAGGAACCATCCTCAGGTTCAGCAAGCCAAAGTATTCATTGGTATTTCATAAATGGTAAAAAAACACACCAACAGTGCAATGCACAATTTGCCAAGAGCCTGGAACAGTGCAAAGGAGCAGAAAACAAGCATTTTTTCCCAGCTGGTTAGTCTTGCCTTTCCCAAGGCTGTTCACAGCCCCAGTGTTCTGTTTCATATGGAAATGCAGAACAAAAGTACACGTTGGGGTTAGGATTCTTTATCCAGAACTTACACCAGAGTTAATTTATTCAGCTGGGAATTAGGGACCTCAGGTGCAAATGTCGTAAAATAAAATTAAAAAGTTTGTTGTGCAATAAGGTTTTTTAAAATCCATCTGTGGTACAGTGATAAAATGCCCTTTGATAAGAGTTTTTTTAATCTGTCCTTGATTTTTACTGTACAGTTCTTCTCTCATGCTTATGATTTCCTCCTTATTACTTTTAAGAGAAATAACTACCTAACACCAGTTACTACTTACCCCTTTGATCAACACTCTTTATTAATTTTGAAACCATGTGTTCCTGTTAAAAAATCTTCTATCTTTGCTTTTTTCCTACTTTTTTTTTAGACTTTTAAGTGTTCAGTTAAGCTGCCTCAGACTTAATGTTTTGGAAATGTTGCTAATTTTGAAGCCATGTCCTTTTAACAATATAAACTCAATAAAATTCCTGTCTTTGAAAAATTAGGACAGTATTTAAATTTTTTTTTTTGTTCTAAATGTGTACAACAGACCAAGAAAATTAAACCAGGCACAGGAAGGTCAGTCTGTGGGTGGGGCTCAGGGAGCCCTTTCAGAGCAGTTCTGCTGCAGAGGGTTCCCAGTGACACCACACAGCTGCACATTAACAGCCCAGCAGGAGACACAGACACCCTGCTCTGCTCTTCTGCAGGTCCAGCAAACAAGGGAGGACACTACGAGGGCACAAAGTGCATAAATGGAGATGTACTCAGAGGCAATCAGTGTGTATATTTTAGTTCAAAGGAAAAGAAAGTGAATTTAAGAGCAAAACAAAGGGAAAGTTGTGCATTACTTACGATATTCAGCATGGATCTCATCTATTTCTTCCTCTGTCTGGTCCTTCGTGAAGGTCAAGCTCTACAGAAATCACAAAAATGTTTGTTTTTAACAGAAATAAAAAGATGATAAGGCAGCAGACTTTGAAATTAGAGACTTCAAACTGGAAGAAGGAGCAGTTGTCTGATTTTCCCCTCCAGCTCTCAGCTTCTCATCACAGACTTTTATACATTTACAGAATGTATCCATGGTGTCCTGCTCCACTTCCACCGAGGCACCAGGACCAAGCCAGCCCCTGTAACACCCAGCACATAAGATATTTCTTAACACTGTGCAACAAAGAGGTTTCAAAAGTCACCAAAGTATCCAATGTCATGGGAAAAGAACAGACGTTATTGCCCATAGGGAAGCATGGAATTTGCTAGCTAAATCCTACAGAATTCTAGGAATCACATATTCTCCACAGTGCCATGGAGGGTCAAAATCCTCCAGTGTGGCCAAGGAGAGCATTTCTCAAGAGTTTTTACTGCAGTCAAAAAAATGCTTCTACTTAAATGGTTTGGGCATAAAGCTCAGCACTACACCAAGGACTGCCCATGACAAATGCGTCATGGGAGAAAATCAGGTTGATTATAGGATGGCATATGTGAATTCCAACACTGAGGCTGGGAATTCCCACTATAAAGCAATAGGCAAACATATTCAGTGCCCACTCTGCAGTTTCTGCTGGCCACCCCTCTGCGAGAACAGAGATCAGTCACCTACATTTTCACTGGGTTTATGACATTCGAGCTGAACCCGAATCTTCTCGTTCTTTTCCAGCTCTTTAACCACCTCTGCAACTGTTAGGAAATAGAAGAAAGGGATCACTGAAACAGGAGCTGTGTAATAAAACGCTGTAACAGCACTGAATGAAACTACCACGAATTTAAAACACAGAGACAACAGCATTAGCACTCCAACAGTGAAAGCTTGGCCTCAAATCTCAGGCAAACCTTCCATCTTTACAACTCCTACTGAACCTCCCTCCTCCACACTACAGGTGTTTCTGTGGTGCACAGGCATGTCTCTCAGAAAGAGTTTCCATTTTATACTGGATGTTTCAATGAAAGATATAATAATTGCATCTACTGTTTATTTTATTTTACCCCCAGACCACCTCCTAGTGTGCAGGCTCATGGCCAAAGCCCACAGCCCACAGATGAATTACAACCTACCCCAACAATTATGTCAGATATATTCAAAGCCTATAAACAGACATAGCTGTGTTTCTTAACATTTAACAAGAGCCACAGCTATGCAGGACACTGCACAGTTTATTTTGACATTTACTTTTACAACTCTGTTTCTGCACTTCATCATCTCCACAGCACTGCCAGGTAGCTGCGGGCACTTATCAAAACAAACACTTTCACCAGACAGTGAAGCAGTCAGAGAACAAAAGCTCAGTAAGGAATAAAACCTGTTCCAAACTGGTTTAAGCAAACTCCTGGAATTTGGCACCTCTGCTTCCTCAGAAGCTTAGCTACTCCTATTACATAGTGACCTCAGGCTTGCTGCTACTACCCAAAATGCATGTCTGCATCTTAAGTGTGAGTTTAATAATTCACCCTTTGTGCACAGGGTTTAAACAGAGGGAGAGCTTTGCATTATTTAGGGCAGAGCAGCTGAACTACACTGAACACACCCTGGAACTCTTCCTTTAGTCTGGAGGAACAAGGCAGAGATTTGCAGCCACTTCACCATCAGCAACAAGTGACGAATTCCCCCAAGCACCCCCCACTCCTTAAAGGAGTATTTTGCATTAACCTTGATTTACAAAAGATAAATTCTTCCAGGTCCAGTTCCCCCAAAACATTCAAACCAGAGTTCCTCCTGCCCTGAGAGCCAACAGAAGAGGAAATGTAGACAAATGGGTTGTGATGGCACCAACTTCCTTGCAGCTTCTCACTTACCTGACTTGGGATTTAGGGAATCACACTGAGCATTGTACATGTGCACAAATTCCTGGTGTCTCTTAATCAGCTGCTGACGGGTCCCAGAGCTAGACAGACCATGTTCCTTGAGCTTCTTCTTCAGATCTCGATCCGACAGTAGGTTATAAACAACTTTAGACATCAGCTTCCTTTTGTGAGCAGAACTGCTAAAGGAAAAGGAAACAGACTTAATTTATTATTCGCGTGAAAATCAAAATACTGACAAAAATTTAAGGGCATTTCACCCACTCAAGACGAAATACACCTGCAAAAAAACTTGGGCTTTTCACCCTAGCGCAGGCCATGTTTTACCTGAATCAGCAGAAGTTTCAAAAGCATTAAAACCTCAAGACAAAACTTGAATTAGATTATTCAGCTTTCTGGGAAAACGACTTTCAGAAAAATAGTCATGTATCTGAAGGCAGCAGTTTCCAGCTAACAGAAGGGTGGTTTGGTGACACAAAAAGTAACATTAAAGAGAATTAACAATGCTCTCAAAGGAATGACATCTAAGCCCAAAATTTACTCCTTCCCACTGTCTTCTGTCAGAAGAACTCAACATTGCCGACACAGCTGGGGAAAACATCTTAATTACAGGAAACTGCCAGATGAAATTCAAGACTGCAACTTTTCTCTACTGTAAGTTTTGTCACCTAAAATGAGCAGAACAGCTCCTTCAGCACAAATTAGCTCAGGCTTCCCTACACCTCCTGGTGAGATACTCTCAAACTAGGAAACAAAGGGACCAAAACCCATCAACTGCCTTGCTCATCTTCTGCAACTGCAATAATTTATTAGTTACAGAGGAACAGCAAGTTATGAGACACTTCGCTCTGCAGCAAAATAAAGTTCAGCTGTACTGCTCTGGATTAGAGTGCAGTTAACAGCTTTCCACAGTGAAAGCAAGAAATTTATTTCAATACTATTCAGCACATTCAACTTATCACATTGAAAATAAATTTCAGGTTGAAAAAAAAAGTCTTCTAAAAAATTGTTATTAATTCATTTGCTCTCATCCAGCCCCCTGTGGTATAGCTGGCAAAAAGAAGATGGATTATCACAATACACTCTTCAGGGAAACTTTTTTCACATTCTTTTGGGAAATATAAAAAATGTCATTGAATAATTAAATCTTTTGCAAGTCCTGCAGAAGCTTGGTGTGTATTCCAGTTCACCAGCAGCATGACCTAAGGAGTGCCCACAGCTTTGCCAGCAGCCACAGGAAAACAGGTTTGGATTTGAATGTTGGCGGGTTTTGCCCACCTTTGAGAAGTGCAGCATTCTCCAGGAACACACACACCTTGGAATTACCCCTGTGCAGATCTGGGGGGCTAAATTAGCAGTTCTGCCAAAATGCTGCTCAGCCATGTGCTCCTGGCTTGAGAATTCCTCAGAGAAGCACTAGGGATGTGCTGTTACTGGAACCAAACATCACAGCCATAAAGCACACACTGCCAGGAGCCAGCATTTACCCCAGAGAGCCAGTCCCGAAGGGCAGTGTCTGGTGTGACACACACTGAAGGGCTAAGCTGCCTCAAGATAAAACAAGCAGAATTTAAAATCCCGTCAGGGACATAAGCTTGACACCAAGGAAAGATCTGGCTTTTATCTGCATTTATTAAAAACAGAGAAAGCACTAAAAACATCCCAAATGGAAATTAAAATGTAACATCACATTTCAATATTAATTTATGATTTTTTCAACTTCAAAGTCCTTTAGCTTATATATTGCACTTTAAGCACAACTGGGCAAAACAAGAGCTTTAACATAAAATTACTTTCTAATTCAAGTTTCGGAGGACTTGGAAAAACAAGCATTGCAGTACAAGCCCCTCCCATTTCTTCAGTCTGATCAGTCAGAAATAATAACAGCCTACATTTCTGCTGTAAGTAAAACAAACTGAAACCTTCATTTCTGATGTGAATGCGGTGACCGTGACCAATGCTGGGGCAGGGGCACAAAGCCAAAGGAATGCATTAATCTTATGGAAATTAAGATCTTCAGGAAACTTGAACAGCCCCACAGTGAGGACAGAAAGGTGCAATTTATATTCTTTAACTTGACAACTATTGAAGCAAATGTCTCTTGGCCCACCTGAAGTGAGGGAAGTGATTCATTCACCAAGTGGAAAATGGGAATTGGGGTTACCCAAAGGGAATGTTAATGCCAGGGAGCAAAACGGTGACAAGAACAATGCCCAGACTGAGGGCTGCTCCCTGTGCTGAATTCTTTAAAGCACTGGCCAGTGTTTTCTTGCCACTAAAAGCCAAAAAGTAATTCTACTGGCAATCCACATGCTTTATTGAGAGGCCACAATGCCCACAGTATTTCATAGTGCTCTGTGCAGCAGGTAAGCCAGAAACAAACACAGCCCACTGCTATTAAACCCCAGCAACTAAGAGTAATTTCAGCAGTGCACAAAACCAGCTACATGCACAGGAAAGTTCTCAGAGCTGTTCTTACCTTCGGAGGCTGTCCTTCTTCTCCTCTCTGGTCAAGCAGCTATCCAGATGTTTGTTTATATATTGCTCTGGAATAGCAACCTCACAAACAGGACATTCCACTGAAAGCAAGCGAGAAGGAATTTACTAGTGTGGATATAACAGCAAAAAGTAAATGTTTTCATCTGAGAAAATAACTCCTGCTTGAAGAAAATGAAAATCCAGAATTCCAAATGTCTTGTTTGAAAAGATCTGGCATGTCTATACAGAATCTTCCTTTTAAGCTTTCATTTTCATTCCAGAGCACTGAATTCACTCTCTATGTAATATCAGAGTGGCTCTCATCTTCCCTGCAGACAGATGGAATGAAATCTCTAATAAAACCTAGACTAACACACATCCTTCAAGAAAATCCAGGGGCTAACAGAAACAGCAGCAGATTTCCCTGCTAATGCTTTCCACTTTTGCACTATTTCACTCCTAAATAAAGGAGGCTGTTTCTTTTTGATAAAACACTATAGCACCGGTTTTATTCTTGTTAACACCGTGTTCCCAATGCATGGCTCTCAGGACAGTCATTGCACAAGTTAACTCAGCCTCACAGGAATCCCATGATCCAGCCAGGGCCCCCACTCATTTCTGGATTCTGTGCCTGGGCTCAGGAACATCCCATGGCACTGGCCCACCCCACTCAATTACTCTTGCATCATATCTGCAAGAGGCACCTCTAAACACTGCCTGTAAAGGCAGACAATAAACACAGACTTAAAACATTCCTCTTTAGCAATCAGATTACACAAACAAAAGACTAATTTTGAATGAACAGAAAGAGAGTCTTTAACTAACATCCTCTGTGTCAGTGTGAAGGAAGTCAGCTCTGATTTAAACAAAACAAAAACTAACCTCTGAAATGCTGGTTTTTCACAACTGTGAAATGTTGTGGGATTTGAGAGTTCTCTGGTAATATTGCTCTAAACACCCCAAACAGTTGGGACAGTGACAAAAACCAGGACAGGTTTCCCATGGCTCCTTTCCTGGCTTTAAGAAGCCAGGAAAATCTTTAAGAAGGATTTACCCAGCTAATGAATCAATATGAACTTCAGAGTTGAATAAATTGTTTAACAAAAGAACAGATAAATTTGAACTAATAAGAACCAGGGCTGTACTCCTACATGGTCTTTTATTTTAATTTAGGCTTTTAGCTGGGTCAATAGGATGGTTGCCAGCACGTCAGGACTAAGAGGATTCTGCCACTTTATTGTGGTTGATTAGTATAAAGGGGCATTTTCATGCTTCCAAATAAATTAACCTTAACCCTGTGGAATTACAGAAGAATAAAGCAGATGACTCTTTTGGAGAGTGCATGAACAGGAATATTAACAGAACTGCTGCCATGTTCCCTTCGAGTTTGGACTCACCCCTCAAATAAAAAACACATTATAAAATAACCTGCATCTGGGTACTCAAGGACAAAAGGGCAGAATGAATGCTGGTGTCTGTCATCAGGGGGAAGGAGAAGAGAAATTGCTTCATTTTTACTGAGTAAGTCTGTTACACAACTATTGTTTTTTAGCATTGTTACTCAAAGCAAAGGAATCTCTAAGTGCTGAATTCCCTTTAATTCCTTGTCAGCAGCCCAAGCTTTGTCATCAAGAACATGCTTGGAGCAGAGCATGGGCCAGTTAAAGAGCTGAACGTGCCAATAGGGATCAGAACCAGGCAGAGAAATGGGATGAGTGCCACGTACTGAGGGTCCCCTTACACACACAGCCGTCCCCCTTGGGGGAAAGAGCAGGGCATAACCAAAACCTGAACAACTCACCTTTCTTGACTCCTTTTACCACAGATGTAGAAGGCTTTTCATGACTTTCAGTGGACTCAGGACTCTCCTGTGATCCCACTTCACTGCCTCTATCACCAGCCTCTGCAGCAGTGCCATGAAGGTCATGGTGTCCCTCAGTTTTGAAAGTCCCCTGATCAGTCCCTGCCAGGCCCCCTGCCTTTGGCAAGGTGCAGACTTCATCCTTTCTCAAGAAACTGCCGGTCACTGGCACCTCTTTTGAATCTGGCTGAGGAACAGGAGTGCTGGCGTGGCTCTGGGCAGCTGGACGCCTGCTGCAGGCCAGCGGGGCCGGAACCGCTGGAGCGTCCAACACCAACTGGAACAGCTGCTGTCTGGAAGCACCCAGAAAAGCACGCAGTTATCTACATTGGACAGGGCTGGGGTTTTTTTTGAGAAACAAGAATGCAAACAGATGGAGTTTTTTGCCCATTCCTTCCTCCCTCTCCCCCTTGCTCACACGCAGCACCTGGGAATTGCCCATCCCACAGGAACCGGACCAGGAGCCAGCCAAGCCTCTCCACACTCTGCAGAACTCAAGCACTATCTTCCTGATCTCAAACTAAGTAAACTGCATTTTGCAAATGCAATGAGATGCCTCCCAAACATTACACGGAACACAGCAGAGACCCAAGAGCTTTCCCCCTTACTCGGACAGAAGACCATTTTCAAGTCAGAGCAGCTCAAACAAGGTGTCACCCAGCTGTGACAGAGGCTCCTGGAGCCAAGGGCTCAGCAGCAGCCACTGCCATATTCCATTGCTCAGCCAGCACACGGTCTGTAGCCAAATGCTGTGGCTTTACAGCTCTGATGTGACACGCTGCACTGCAGCTGAGGTGACAAAGCCTCTGAAAGCAGCACAGCTGTGGCTCCTCAACTTGAAAGGTTTTTAACTGGGGAACACTAAATAACAGCTGAAAGAATTTGAGTTCCCATTCCTTTAAAAGGAGAGGACTGTGATTGATATTCCTACAGAATGTGCACACCATAACAGTTGGCTCAATAGAATACAACCTCATCTAAAACAGAAAACGGAAAAACAGTACAAAGCTCCATCTAACCTAACAATAATTTAATAACGAACTTTGCTTTAATTACACCACTGATCTACAAAAAAATCCTGAGAGCTTTTCCTCATATTGAAAGATGAAGACTTAGAAATAGACTTTCCAAAGCGATCTGATCTTGGCACAGAATCGGTGGAAAGAACATCAGGATGAGAACTTGAACCCTTTTTTGCCAAAACACACTCTTTTATAGATGGGAATATACAGAAAACTCTAGTACTGAATGCAAAAGAGGAGAGAGTAGTCCCAGGCTGGTTTTTCCCAGAATGTGGGATTTTTGGGCCTGTGAGCAGCTTCCCTGGCTGGGTGATGACATCTAGTGGTCCCACCCCACAGATGGAAGAGCTGGGACACAGCCCTGAGCTCTTGGGCAGCACTTTATCACCTGCCACAGCTCCCTCAGCCCCAGAGCGAATGACTCAAATTCCTGGTTATTCACAGAGATTTGGACAGGCATGACTAGACTGGAAGACTCATCCATCATTCAGAGAGCCCAGAGAAAGCATGGAATGATGGGGAAGTCCAACCTCTGCATCACCAGCCTGCCCAGCTCACCTGGAAACCAATTCTATGGCAAACCTCAATTCAACAAAATTTTCAAGAAGCTCTGTGTTTCGTGTGGTCTCCACTGTTATCTAAGATACCCTCCACACCTGCACAGACTGCTATCAGTTCTGAGAGGTCCCAGCAGACACAATTAACCTTCCTGGCACAAAGCAGTAACAGCTGACAAAGCTGGGTTCATGAGCACGAGCAGCACCTCTCCCTCTAAAGGCTGGGAGGTGAATTAACCAGGTGTCAGAGTCCAGATCCGCTGTTGTAGCCAGTACCCAAACCGTCCTGCAGACCCATCCTCCTTAATCGCTGGGTCAGGTCAGGACAGGGATTTACACTGCTTTTAACTAAAAATGGATGGTTTAACACCCTCCCCCAGCACCCTCCCTCTGCTTCAAAAACAGCACTAACAACTTGCCACCTTTTTTCCTTTGGATCTGTAAGACCTGCAAAAAACATTTCAGAGTCCTTCGGTTCCCATTTTATGGTCCCTTTGCTCCTCCCTTGCCAAAACAGAAACGAAGCGAAGTCATTGGGAATTTAGTGCTCCCACATCAATAAATTCCAGGGAAGAGCTGCAGTTGTGAATCTTCCTAGGAACACCTCACACAGGACAGTCCTAACTGCACTATAGGCAATGCATCTCCTTGAAATTCCTTCTGCATTCCTGCTGGAGGTTTAATCAGTGTATCAGCAGTGACAGCACCTGCTCTCTCAGCACTCAGAGTCGATGTGTTTATTCCTGTGAATCACTACCTGTCAAGTAGTCCCGATTAGGAAACTAAGATATAAACCTGAAAGTAAAAGCATATTTTATTTCCCTGTGTATGAAGAAAAGCAGAGATCCTTGTTAGTAAGGACCACTCTCCTACCTGTGCAACTGTAACTCTAATTTCTATTGCTAAATTTTCTAACAAGGTGATGTAAAAACTCACAATTTTTATCAAAATAATCTCTTTATTAGAGAACAATGAAATTAATTCTTTACACTTCACACAAAACTTTACACTTAGTTTTGAAGACACTGGCCCCACTGCAACTGATAGAAGTTCACAAAGGACAGCTGGCACAGATACTGCTCCTCATCTTTCTCTCCTGACCTGTCCAGAGCCAGGAATTCCATCCCAGAGCACTGGCAGGTGAGGAAAAACAAAACTGCTGATGTCAATGTCTCCCCTGAGCTCCTGTGCCCCTCACACAGGGCAGTGTCCATTCACACCCACTACAGCCTGGTCAGAACTGCTCCTCTGCCTTTCACACTGCATGAAACATCGATGGGCCATAAGGAGTGACAGGACACCTCCACTTTCACTGGGAAACAGGAGAGCCCACTCCCTGGATGGGGAGGGAGCAGCATTCCCACACATCACCCCAAGCACACCCACAGCAGCTCATCCTGCAGTCACTCAGGCACAGAGTGGGAAGGATAAGGGCAGAGTATAAAGGGGATCAGCACTTGGCCCTGGTTGGAATGATTCGTATTCCCTGCACACGCTGACCTTGGAGCACAGCTTGCATCTAAGTACCACCAACATTACCATTTTCTTTCCCTCCAGGCCTGACTTAAGAAATGGGTTTGCACTTTGTGAAATGCTGAGATGATTTAAGGCCTAATTTTCATAAACACTAAACCACCCAAGGCTCAAAGTCAAGTCAGGACAGACATCTCTGATATGTGCTGAGCTTTTCAACCCCTGGACTTTGGATTTGTTTTGGGGAGGGCCAAGGGGAAACAAATCAGATGGGGAAGGAGGGGGGAGACAGAAGATTTGTCCTATACCAACATCATCAGGGCAGAAACCAGCAATGGGTCATGATTTAATGACATCCCACATATTGCTCTCTGGACAAGCCGTGTCCCCCCAGCTCAGGGCACGGGCAGAGCAGACACAGCCCGGGGAGGGGCTCAGCCCAGGGGTGCCCAGCACACTGCTCTGATGGGTCTGTCTCATTAAAGCAGTTATTAGTGAGCCTTCATTGTGGGGCCTTTCCCACCCAGCCCCAGAGCCTGTGCCAGCCCCTCCCACCCAGAACGGAGCAGGGACGGGCACCACCAGGCTACTGATCGACCCTATGGGAGGGATTGACTGAACTCCAAGTCACACAGGAGAGGTTATTAAACTGCTCTCCCTGGTAAGATTTATACTGATCCATTAAAGCAGCCACAGAAATTAATGTTTAAGATTCAATATCATAATGGATCCAAGTCAGCACTCTACTTGTTCTCTACAAAATTAGACACTACCAAAAAAACAGTAATCCATTTATCACTAGGAAGCACCAAAGACAGAGTTCAACCTAAAACAATGGAACTTTAGGATTTAAATTATTCCAATAAATCACTTCAATCTAGCAGTGGTCATATACAAGAGTAGATCTATCTACATTCTATGGTCTTCATCACAGAAAAATTCTTTCAAGAAACAAAGCCATTAACTGAACTCTGCTTCCTGTCACTTATGAAGCCAGTTCTCATTGACTTCCAGCTTCAAGTTAATTTCAGAGAAAAAAATGAAAGTGTATTTGTCTCCCAAAGACACATGAATACCCACAGAATCCCCAACAAATCACTGAGCTGCTTCTCATCAAAAGAAAACAGACAGACAATATAAGGAGCCTCACGCATTTACTGTGGTGAGAACTTACCAAGTCAAACTTATTCTGTTGTTCCTGTCTTTTGAAGGGATAAAATAAAAAATTAATTAAACAGGAAAGTAGCTAAGAAATCCAGGTGAAAGCAGAGCATCCCATTACTTCTCTTCCCCAGGAAAACTCACATTTGTGGTCCTTCAATACCTACTTTTTTCCCAGACAGTGACTTCACCAAGAGAATTCTCTTGCAAGTTGATTGTTATCACTGGACAAAATCTTTTTGTTTAAAATTTTCCCTGCACACCTATCAAGGATTTTAGTAGAAAATCTTTATTACCATTATTTTTTCCATAGAATCCTGACATATCTGCTTGACTTCCTGTACATTGGAAGGCAGTTAAGCAGAATCAGCACCAAAATAAGATTGTAGAGCCTCCACACATCACCAAGTGGGCAGTAACCTTCAGCCAGAACACTGCAGGATTTCTCCAAGAGTGCAAACATCCATCTTTGACAATATTTCTGGGACACCGCAATTTTTTTGCTCAGTCCTCACAGCACTGCTCTCCAAGGACTCCAAGCCTGGTCACACACAGGCAGTCACTCCTTTCAAGCTGCCAAACTAGAGAGAGGAGTCATAAAATAACATAAATACCTTGCAGAATTGAAGCTCTTCACTAGATCATCTAATATTCGGTTGTTTTTCAGGTCAGATTCGGAGACTGCCTATCGGAAAAGAGAGAGAGAAAAAAAGAAAAAAAAAAAACAAAAAACACCAAAACAAAACAAAAAAAAACCAACAACAACAAATATTCAAATGCAGTGAAAACAAGTGCCCAGAAAATGTTCAAGTGATCAATAACTTGCTTCTTGGATCAGTGACTCAACTACCCCCACTAAAGTGCTACAAAAATGAAGATGCATAAAGGATAAACGTTTTTTCCTGAAAAATATCATATTAAAATAACTGCCTGAGAACTGTAAGTCGGGAAAATTAGGGTAATGGATAAAAATGAAGCATAAAGCTAAAGGAACAAAGCCCAGTGTACCCAGGCTCCAACAATGGTTTATTGCAGCACAGGTCTAATTATTTTGAAAACCAAATCAAGGATTTCATGAAGGTGATAAGAACGTTAAGCAAAGCATGAAAACTGATGAAGGGAAATGTTAATCTTCTGATTATGGAATAAAAATATGAAATATGAGATGACTTTGCACATTCAATTCATTCTTTTGAAACAATTTCTGATTTTTATCTCTCAGTCTCTGCTCTTCTTTTTAACAAAGTTTCTATTAGTTTTTCTCATACCAGTACCTGTGAGTTTTAAGCAGGTGGCTGTAAAATGTACTTCATCAAGTAGGCTGCACTTGTTTGGATGTTTAAAAACTGACAAAGCTACAAATAGATCCGTTTTCCAGTCTTGAAAAGTCTCATGTTTCATGCTTTAAAACACAGACCAAAATTACTCCTATTTTGCCAATATTCCTGAAGCACCATTCACTTGTTTGAGTTACTGTTCTTAACCACCTTCAGGAGGTCGATAAAGCCCAACTGGTTTCAGGAGAAAAGTTAGATTAAGGCTTAGAGAAAATTGCATTCCATGTTCTTTAATGGAAAAAGGGCTTCAAGTGAGATCCTAACAAGCACCACCTGCAGAGCAGCCTCAGCCTGCCTCCAGAGCTCTGCACATTCACCTCCTGCTCCTGGCAAACACCTCCTCTCCCAGAGCAGAACACAGCCCTCTCACGCCCAAAAAGGCTACACCAACCACTTCCAGGACTAGGAGGTTTGTGAACACTTTGAAAGACTCCTTGAGAGACTAAATGAGGCCACTCAAACATGGGAAATTTAAGTGCCTAAGTTTCAGCACTCCTGGTTTAAATGCTGGTTTATTCTGACAAATTCAAATTAAATGTTTTGTGAGAGATTGAGTGCACAGCCCTGAGCCAAACCTGAGCTTGATGCTCCATCCACTTCTGCCTGTGCTGACAGAGTACACCTCTGAAACAGAATTCCAGCTGTAAGAACATCCCACTTGGCTCAAACAGCTGCTCACCAAAAGGAAAGGTGGTAACAGTGATCAGAATTATTTAGCACAGTCCAAAGGGAAAAGCTCCTGAGATTTGAAACAAACAAATAAAACCCAAAAACAAACAAACAAACAAAAACCCCACAAGCTGAGGGAAAAAGAAAGCACTTAAAGCACTTACCACACAGCATGTTGGACACTGAGTTTTGTAGGACAAAAACTTGCGGATACAAAGAGAACAATCTGGAAAAAGGAAATGCATCATTTTGAAGAAGGCATTCTTCCAAAGGCAGTTCCAAGTCCTTACTTGTGTATTTTCTTATTGTACAATATGTGCAAGCCATTCCACAACACAGCAATGTTGAAAACACACCATCTTTCCATGGAATTGAGATAATCATTGTAGCAAAAAAAACCAAACATATTTTATGCAAACATATTTCAGTACCTAATGTCAGTCCCTCTGTCAAAAGATGATGTTCATTTCCGTTTGTTTCCCAGTACAAGACAAGAAAACCCTAGTCAGCCACCAGCACTAAAGCCATGCTTGCACTGCTCACTCCCTCCCACACTGGGTTTTTGACTAATGTTGGATCACTCTCATCTTCCTGCACAGCCCCAGACATCCTCTGTCTCCTCTTCTTCCCAGGCTCTTCTGCCCCTTTCCAAAACCATACCAACTTGTCAGTGAAGGAAAAGGCTAAAAGGAATGGAAGCCAGCACTGGAAGACTGAGAGACAGCTTGGTGTTTCCCAGGGAAAGCAAAGCATGTCATCATCATCACAGGATGGTTCAACAGCCCCTGTGGTGAAACATGCCATAACCTTCATTTTGTCACAGTAAATTTCTGAAATTGTTCTGCTTTGTCAATTTATCTATGAGCTTTCAGAGCCACTTAGAGATATAAAAAGTCCCATCACTCTCCAGTACAACAGACATTCACAGGTCAGAGTCTCAGCACTTAACACACTCAGCAGCAGCTCCCAAAGCAGATTTATATTTCACAGACCCTCTGGGAATGAGTCTGAAAAGCAGCAGGAGCATTAATTAATCACAGACTGGTTTGGGTTGGGAAGCCCCGTCCAACCTGGCCTTAATGCACCAATTAACACTTAAACCCACAAATCCAGTAAATACTCAAAAGTTACTGTATATATTAAGAAGTTATAAGGGGTGGGAAATCCGTACAAAAAAGAAATTAACTTTAACTGTATGAATATGAATGAAGTGGCAGATCCAGCCTGCTGACATCCGACACACAGCCTGCAGACAGAGCTCATCCTCCCTACCAGGGCGTAAGAAATCCCAGGGCCACAGTTCCCTCCATCCATGCTAGAGAAGACACTCCCCTTCAGATGCCTTTATTATGTGAAAAAAATACAGATGGCACATCTCTTCTGTCAGTAATGACACAGTCCAAACCACCAGGACAGTTAAACAAGTACTGTCACATGAGCTACTGAGTGCTCCCAGGCACCCAAGAAGCAGCAGAGGAGGAATTTTAAGTGGCTTCAGGTGCAAACACATTACAGAGATGTCTAGAAACCCTGGAATAGATCATTAAGAAAATGAGAGTCAGCAGAAAGGTCTGCAAGCAGACATACTTCATTTTCATCCATTCACAAACAATTACTCATTAAAGCAGAGGGCTTTTGGCTCCAGTTGTCCAACCTCAGTTGACTCAAGAGATTACAGAGACAAGCAAGTGGAAAATACTTCAAGAAATCCTGAGCTATTGTAGAAAACTTGGACCTTCTGTGATTTGCATGGGGAAATAAATTGTGTAATCTGTTAAAAAATTGCAGACAGATTCTTTCCAAAGTTAAGGGCCTCTGAACCCCACTGTGTCACCAGTGAGTAGAGACTTTCCAGTGTTCCCCACCACAAGAATACTGTTTTCAATGGTGAGAGTTTTGCCAAGCTAAACTAAACTTCACTGCCAAACTACAATGACCCCCTTCATGGAAGGAAGGGGAAGTGCTACAGTTTCTGAAGCAAACAATTACCAGCTTTTATTTTGACATGAGAAAAGCTAACATACTCCCCTCTAATCTGGCTTTCAGCAAACTGCTTGGGTCCAGGTTCCAACAGATATCAGCCCGAGGCAGGCGGAGCAGCACGGAAAATTTTAGCTCATAATGCTCTCCACATACAACTTTGTTCCACCCTCAAGATGTTATGGAAGATATTTAAATGGGGACTTGTAGAAATAGGTGGTGTTTAAGTGCACTGATCCAGGTGCCACGTGTTTATGCTGCAGCAGGAACTGCACAATGGAAGGTTCTGGCTGTTTCCACCTCACAGACCTTCTCACAGCTTCCATCCCAAGGAGAACCACAGAATCCTGGAATAGTTTGGGTTGGAAGGAACCTTAAAGCCCATCCCATTCCACCCCTGCCATGGGCAGGGACACCTTCCACCAAGGTTGCTCCAAGCCCCGTCCAACCTGGCCTTGGACACTCCCAGGGATGGGGCAGCCACAGCTTCTCTGGGCAACCTGTGCCAGGGCCTGCCCACCCTCCCAGGGAAGGATTCCTTCCTAATATCCTATTTAACCCTACTCTCTGGCAGTTTGAAGCCATTCCCCCTTGTCCTGTCCCTCCAGGCCCTTGTCAACAGTCTCTCTCCATCCTTCCTCTAGGCCTCCTTCAGGTCCTGGAACACCACAATTCTGTCACCCTGGAACCTTCTCTTCTCCAGCTGAACAATCCCAATTCTTTCAGCCTTTCCTTACACTTCACACTCAGGAAGTTCACACAAGGCAGCGGGACTGGACAAGTCCCACCAGAGCAACAACCCCTGCAGCAGACTCACAGTTGTGGGAGCACTGTGGGATGATCACGGCGATGCTGAAGTAGTCGAAGCAAATCCCACAGCGCAGCAAGTCATCCACGTCCTGCAGGGAGAGCGGGGTCAGCCACGGGCACGGCACGGCCCGGGCAGAGGAGAGCGGCACCGAGCGGGGTGCCCGGGCCCGGGAGAGCGGCACCGAGCGGGGTGCCCGGGCCCGGGAGAGCGGCACCGAGCGGGGTGCCCGGGCACGGGCCCTTCGCTGTGCCGAGGGCCGCTCAACGCCCGCGGGTCGCGGGGCAGCGCCGGGGTGTGCTGCCACGGCCCCCCCGTCCCTCCGCCCGCTCGCGGGGCCGAGGAGCCGCGCCCGGGCCGACCCCGCCCCGCGCCGTCCTGCCATCCCCGTGTCCTGCCATCCCCGTGCCCCGCCGTCCCGTGTCCGTGTTCGTGTCCCGCCGTCCTGCCATCCCCGTGTCCCGCCATCCCCGTGTCCGTGTCCCGCCGTCCTGCCATCCCCGTGTCCCGCCATCCCCATCCCCGTGTCCCCCGCACGCACCTTCAGCGGGGCCAGGCTCGGCGGCCAGGGCGGCTCGGGCAGCGGCAGCGCCAGGGCCATGGCGGTGCGGCCCGGCCAGGTCCCGCACGGCCCCGCACGGCCCCGGACAGTCCCGGTCAGTCCCGCACAGCCCCGCACGGCCCCGCACAGTCCCGGACAGTCCCGCAGGGCCCCGCACGGTCCCGGACAGCCCCGCACGGCCCCGGACAGTCCCGGACAGCCCCGCAGGGCCCCGCACGGCCCCGGACAGTCCCGGTCAGTCCCGGTCAGTCCCGCACGGCCCGGCCCGAGCCCACCCGGCCCCGCGCGCTCAGCCCCGCGCGCGCCTCCACCCGCACTTCCGGCGGCGCTTCCGGGAGGAGCTTCCGGGAGCGGGCCCTGCCCGTGTGCGATATCCCCTGTTCCTGGTGCGATATCCCCCGTTCCTGTGTGCGATATCCCCTGTTCCCTGTGCGATATCCCCTGTTCCCTGTGCGATATCCCCCGTTCCCTATGTGATATCCCCTGTTCCCTGTGCGATATCCCCTGTTCCCGTGTGCGATATCCCCTGTTCCCTGTGCGATATCCCCCCTGTTCCCCTGTTCCCGTGTGCGATATCCCCTGTTCCCGTGTGCGATATCCCCTGTTCCCGTGTGCGATATCCCCTGTTCCCTGTGCGATATCCCCTGTTCCCTGTGCGATATCCCCTGTTCCCAGGCCTGCCTGGGGCTGGAGCTGTGTCAGGGCAGGCTCAGGCTGGATCTCAGGGAAAGGTTCTTCCCCCAGAGGGTGGTTGGCACTGAACAGGCTCCCCAGGGCAGTGGGCACAGCCCCAAGGCTGCCAGAGCTGCAGGAGGGTTTGGACAACGCTCTGAGGGGCAGGGTGGGATTGTCGGGGTATCCTGTGGAGGATGATCCTTGTGAGTCCCTTCCAGCTGAGGATATTCCATGATTCTGTGATTCCAACTAAGGTGACTTTTCATTGCTGAAGGAATCACCCATCAGGCATTTCCACACCTTTTCTCCCCTGTGTGCCTCCCACCCCTGGAGGAGCTGCAATAACAGCACTGGTCTCTGGGTATTCCACGTGTCTGTGGAACTCCCATGGACATCTGATGGGTGGAACAGGATTCTCCCAACTCCCGTGCTCAGCTGATGGATTCTCAGCTGCTGTGATCAGTTGTTACTCAGGGGACAAATGAGATGTGTATCTGAGTGCTCCCATAAGATGGGCCTGAGAGTCTTCATCCATATCCTCCCCAGAGAGGCTAATTTAAAACACGTCTAAGACACCGTGTGGGTGAGATTTGGAACCCATCTCCCTCCCTCCTCAGTCACCAGGCAGGTGGTGATGGGGCTGAGCGCTGCCGTGGGCTGTCAGGAGGCCTCATAATTGCTGTGGAGTTCAGGGAAATTAACACACTGCCCAGGTGACGTAGGATAAAATTGCAAAGCAAACTGTACTGTCTGGGTGCAGCTCTGATTTCTGAGGGCAGGTGCTGACCCAGGCTGAGCCCATCACACTGGGGGCTCGCTGACCCCACTCCTCTGGCAGGTACTCTGGCACACTCTACAACTTACAATATTCCTGTTCATTAAATTTGTTGTAGCAGAGGTTTTTACACACACACAAACACATTTACCCATTTTTTATAATAGTCTATGGAACAGTAACACCTCCCTTTACTTCCTTAGTTTCACAGGTCTGAAACAATTTTGCAGCAGCTGGTGACTCAAATGTGCTGTTTTCCCAAAACTGAAACTGTGTGTATGTGTGCTTGGTTTTTCCTATGAGTTTGTTTGTAGCAGTGTAATTTTCATGCTCTTGCTCCTGATCTGTGCTAGTCTGATTCTTGAATTGGATAAAATCAAGCCAAGCTCCCTGAACTGGCACTCAGTGGCTATATATACATATATAGCTATGTAAAAGGTGTTCCATGACCCACACGAGGAGGAAGGTCAGAGGAAATGATCACAATGGTCTGTGCTGGCCTTGAGCACTATGAATCTCTGAATTTATATATTTGAATGGCTCTGATTACTGCCTGCCCCTTGCCAAAAGTGCTGGAATTTACAGAATAGTGTCACTTAAGTGCCTGTTCTTTTTCACCTTAAGGAATCCATATCTTTTCTCTGTGAGCTGTGACAAGTGAATGTATCAACCTCTTGAGATTTTCTGTTCTTTCCCTTCCCTCACACACGTGGTCAGTCTCAGTCCAGGTTCACACATAGGTATCAGACATGAGCTTATTGGGTGGGAATTAACTCACCCCCCCCAGGAATGGGTACAGGGATGCAGGTTCATTCATGCAGCAACATGTTTATTTTTTATTTTGGTCTGATGAAGAGCAAAGAGCAGGGAGTTTACAGCCAAGCACCATCCATACAGACCACTACGGAATAAAAATGCAATTTAAATTATTTCCACTGTAAAAGCAGCATATATATATATATATTAAAAAACCAACTTGGAACACCTGTGCTTTCACCTGAATCCTGTACAATGCTGAAGCTGGAGAGCATCCACCCCTTAAGGCCATGTGGTCAGATGATCCCCCCAGCCTGTGGTGCAGAGCCTGGTTCTCTGTGGGCATTTTCTCCTTGGGATGAAGTCCCACCAGGAGAGGCACTGGGAAGCCTCTCCCAGCCTTCAGCCCCACTGCACTGCTGAGAACTTGGCCAGAAAAGCACTGCTCATCTGGAGCCTGGCTGAGCACGAGGGTCCCAGGGAGCAAATCCCACCCACAGAGCCCTGCCCAGTGAGAACACTTGTCCTCACTGTAGGAATGCTTCCCACTGTTTTACTGGCACTTTGGGCTTCGGTGGAGCAATACTAAACTGATTTATTTTGCTCAATGACCAAGTTACAACTTGTTATTATACACAGAACACCAAACATATCCCCTCCTCCCAAGCCCCTGAAACGCTCATTTCACTTAAAATACCAGTAAGTCCCAAGTGCATTTCCATAAGCTTGTTGCCCTATTCTGTTAGCAGAGAAATGTGTGGAAAAGCTTCGTAGGAAGTCTAGTAGCCTGACACAAAGAAAATATCAAAAAGCAACTTATTTTCATACGTTCTATTGAGACAAAGAAAATATTTACGTGAAGTTTTACATAATTCCCAGCTGATTGTGCACAACTTAACAATGTAAAGAGTGTTTATTCCCCCGTGGTGCCCAGTGCCATGTGCAGAACTGTTGTTTTTCTCTGTGCTCCAACAGACAAACGACTCCTCCTCAGCTACCCTTCATCCACTGATCTTAAAACTAAAAAATAACACTCACCTAGGTCTGCCTCACATGTCTGTGTGTCCCTGGACATTCTTCATTATAGATATACAAACACACCACAGAAAGAAGCCGCTGGGACACCAGCGTGGAGATTGGATGAAAATCTGCAGAAGAACATACTGTACTTCAAAAAAAAATTAAACCCCAAACCAGAGAACATTTTGAGTTAATTGTTTCTAAGTATTTTCAGAGATTCCTTAGTATTTAAAGCAGTGGAAAGTTTCTCATCATGTCATTCCCAGCTGGAGAAGCAAACAGCCTGAAACCATGGGTAAGATTGCCCAGAAACATTTAACATTGACCTTGCTCTGCCCTTGTGTTAAAGTTGGCAACCATTTATTGATTTCTACAGGACTAAATTTAGTCTGATGTTGAGACTTTTAGAACAAAAAGATCCCATGTTGTCGTGGTTTAACCCCAACCAGCAGCCGCTCACTCACCCCCCCACCAGTGGGATCAGAGAGAGAATCAGAAGGGTAAAAGTGAGAAAACTCATGTGTAGATATAAAGACAGGTCAGTAGGTGAAGCAGAAGCCACATAACACAAGCAAAGCAAAGGAATTCATTCCCTGCTTCCCAGGGGCAGCAGGTGTTCAGCCATCCCCAGGACAGCAGGGCTCCGTCACACATAACAGTTATTTGAGAAGACAAAAGCCATCACTCTAAATGTCCCCCCACCTTATTTACTGAGCATGACATCATATAGTATGGAATACCCCTTGGATCAGTTGGGGTCACCTGTCCCAGCTGTGTCCCCTCCCAGTGTCCCCTCCCCAGTGTGGCCACACGAGGGGCAGAAAAGGCCTTGGCTCTGGGTAAGCCCAGCTCAGCAATAACAAAAACATCTCTGTTATAGTCACTGTGTTCAGCACAGATCCCAAACACAGCCCCACACCTGCCACTGCAAACAAAAGGAACTGTACCCCACCAAACCCAGCCAAAGCAGCACAGGACTGGAGCAGCCAGACGATGTCCCGGAGTGAGGTATCGGAGTGCCTGTCAGGGGTGTGGGCCAGCCCTGCAGTATCTGCTGTATTTTTGCACGTGTATAATTCACTGTGATGTTTAAAGACAACAGACTGCAGAGGTGGATTCAGAGCTGCTGGTTTTGTCTCCGTGTCATTAGTTTTTGGCTAAAAGCCTCTGGTGTGATGACAATCCCACCACCCCACTGCCACTTCCTTGGCAAGCCAGCGATGCCAAGAGCTCAGTCATTGCCTTCCAAGCACAAAAGACCACAGGGAAATGCTAACAACCTTTCACCTGTCAAAATGCTCCCAACCCGTGTGCTGAAGTGTATTTATCACCCCAGCGTGGTTGTGCTGGCAGGCACCCCACACCCAACCTTTGCTGCTTTAGCTGTGCCACAGCTATACAAATATCAGGCCATTTCACACAGAAATGCCTTGAAAGCACAAACAAAATCATTTTTTCTTGGTTTGTTTTTTGTTTTTTTTCAGGCCATGGCAATGTTTTTAGGCCAACGTAAATCAGTGAAAAACATGTTCCAGAGCAGCACAGAAGCTTCCATGAAAATACCATGTGAGTTAGTGGCTGAAGGAGCCAGAAGTAATATTTAAACTTTCTCCTGGAGTGCCTGGAGACAGGCATGGTGAGTAAAATGACTCTGGACATTTCACAGTAAACCAATGCTGATTGAGTTGGGCCTGACCTGAGGGCAGAATGAAATGACAGTGGCTGCTGGACAGGCAGCCGGGGCAGGGAAGGCAGTAGATAAACCAGCACAGCCCTGACCCGAGACAGGGACACACATTCAAACAATGAGCCATCAGTGAATTGGCCTTTGCTGGCTTTGGCCTTCTGCCACAGCAACGCTTGTTGACGTTAGAGAGACGTTGTTTTGCACATGCAGATACCTCCCG